GTGCGGCCAGCTGGAGGAGGTGGAGGAGTTCAACACTTGGATAGGGGCACTGCCCCATCGCCACAAGATAGTGATTGCTGGCAATCATGAGCTCAGCTTCGACAGAACCTTCACTCATCCTTTCCAGAAGAGCAAAGGTCATGCTTCGAGCAGCAAACACACTGGCATGTCCATCCTCGATGATTTGCCCACCTTGGGCAATGCCAAGGAGAATTTGGAGAGCGCTGTGCAAACGCAGAATGTCCGCGACGTTCTGACCAACTGTCGGTATCTGGAGGATGAACTGCTCGAGATTTGGGGCGTTCAAATTTACGGATCGCCATGGCAGCCTGAATTCTGCCGCTGGGCCTTTAATGTCCCACGTGGGACTGCATGTTTGGACAAGTGGAAACAGATCCCGGAAGGCATCGATATTCTGGTTACCCACACGCCGCCCGTGGGTCATGGAGATCTCTGCTGTTCCGGCGTAAGGGCAGGTTGTGTGGAGCTACTCAGCACAGTTCAGCAACGAGTGCGTCCGAAGTACCATGTTTTCGGACATGTACACGAGGGCTACGGCATCACCAGCGATGGCAGGATCATCTTTGTGAATGCCTCTACCTGTGACATTAATTACCTACCCAACAATGCCCCCATCGTTTTCGATGTGACGCTGCCCCCCGGAGTTCGCAAGGACTAGCATGCCTAGATGCACATTTAATGTGTTCAATGAATTTATTTTCGTCCCACTGTAAATTTAAGTTGAAATATTCTGTCTCTAAAGATATCCAAGCACAAATGTAGGTGTCTAGAGAGGTTGAATTCAATTCGCACGAAATAATCGCTCTTTAGAGAAACAAATCAATACTTAAGATGCCATAAAATATTTATTCAAGTAGAGTGCATTTGTCAAAATATAAATTTGTAAAATAAATCAATTCTGCGGACACCTAAATTGTTTATATATTATTTTCATTATAATGGCAGTTAATGAATAACAAACTTAATTTGAGTAAAGGTAAATCAAACCCTAAGGTACATATATGTACATATTTTCAAATCGGTATCGACAAGCCGCCACAAATGAGTTCGAAAAACCTTGGAATGATTGGGGTGCAGCCCTGTCTCCCAATTTGACATTCCTCTTTGGCGCCCTGTAACGGCGCTCTTCCAGTGACTCCCCAACCAACGAACCAACTAACCTGAGGCTGCACTTTTCGCGTGGCGACCAAAAAATTATAGAAAAGGTCCCGCAGTAGATTTTAATTTGTATACTCCAATTTTAGTCCAGCAATAAAATTAATAAAATGGTGAGAAAAAACTGTAGTTTAAGTGTGAAAGGCGGGAAGTGAAATATACAATCAGAAAAGAGAAAAGATAAATGAATAAAAGTTATTTGCAAAACTAAAAGCCCTATAGAGATATGAGAAGAACATTACCTTCTTTTTAGAAAGATATTACCTGTTACTGTCGCAGAAAAATAAAAAGATCTTAGAAATGTTATAAAATAAATTACTTATACGGATCATACAAGACAATCAAGTTTTTTAAAGATTCTTTAATCTTAACTATTCTTTGCGATTAATGAACTGTCCCAACGATAAATGAATATTCATTTTTCTTCATATGATATTGTTCTTGACACTAGTTTTAGTGAGTAATGCACTTCATTTATAAAATACAATGGGGGACCTAACCTAACCTTAAACAATGGCGCCTTCTCCTGCCCAACTCACCTTTTTTATTATTTCCCCCACCAGCGCGAAGTAATCTCCATCCAGATTGGCCAGTGCGGCATCCAGATCGGCAATGCCTGCTGGGAGCTGTACCTCCTGGAGCACGGCATCAACCTGGACGGCAGCCTGAAGACCAAGGAAGAGCTGACGGCCAGCGGGAGCAGTGCCAGTGTGGGTCACGACACCTCGGCAAACGATGCTAGGACCTTCTTCACGGAGACCGGAAATGGGAAGCAAGTGCCCCGCTCAATTTTCGTCGATCTGGAACCGACGGTCATCGATGATGTGAGGAATGGCTCCATGAGGGACCTGTACCATCCGGAGCAACTGATTTCGGGAAAGGAAGATGCGGCCAATAACTATGCCCGCGGTCGCTACTCCATTGGCAAGGAGGTGATCGATAGGGTGACCTCAAGGCTGCAGAAGATCGCAGAGCAGTGCGACAGCTTGCAGGGATTCCTCATCTTTCACTCGCTGGGCGGAGGAACTGGTTCGGGATTCACCTCCCTGTTGGTGGAGCGCTTGTCCACCGATTACAACAAGAAGTGTAAGCTGGACTTTGCCGTCTATCCATCGCCCAAGGTCTCTACCGCCGTGGTGGAGCCATACAATGCCCTGCTGACCACGCACTCCACCATGGACCACTCGGACTGTGTGTTCATGGTGGACAACGAGGCCATCTACGATATATGTAACAATAGTTTGGGTGTGGACAGGCCCGCCTATAGGAATCTGAATCGTTTGATCGCCCAAATAGTGAGCTCCACAACAGCCTCTCTGCGTTTCAGTGGCTCCATGAATGTGGATCTGAATGAGTTCCAAACGAATCTGGTGCCCTTCCCACGCATCCACTTTCCTCTGGTGGCCTATGCACCGCTGATGTCCGCCGAGAGGTCAGCCCACGAACAGCATGCGATTACCACTTTGACCAATGCCTGTTTCGAGTCCTCCAATATGATGGTCAAGTGTGATCCCCGTTCGGGTAAATTCATGGCCTGCTGCATGCTATACAGGGGTGATGTGGTGCCCAAGGATGTGAATGCCGCCGTCTCGGCCATCAAGTCCAAGCGGCACATCCAATTCGTGGACTGGTGTCCCACTGGTTTCAAGATAGGCATCAACTACGAGAAGCCCGCCTTTGTGCCGGATGGAGATTTGGCCAAGACCTCGAGGGCGTGCTGCATGCTGTCCAACACCACCGCCATCAGTGTGGCCTTCTCGAATCTCTCCTACAAGTTCGATCTGATGTTCAAGAAGCGGGCCTTCGTCCATTGGTATGTGGGCGAGGGCATGGAGGAGGGCGAGTTCACGGAGGCGCGGGAGAATATCGCCGTCCTGGAACGCGACTTCGAGGAGGTCGGTCTGGACAACGCCGAGGAGGGCGGCGACGAGGACTTCGATGAGTTCTAGGCCCACATCTTCAGGCCCAGTCACTTAAATATCCAATAAATATATGTAAATAAATTAACCCAGAGTTTGAATCACCATGACTTTCATTGGGTAAGAGATTGGAGTTGGTTTTAAATGCTTAAGGAGTTCGCGAACAAGACTACATATGGAATATCCTATATAAATTAAAAAGATAACTAAAAGTGTTACATTTTTAGAAGACAATCTACCAATTTTACATAAACTCAAAAAATCCAATAAAAACACATTCTTGCATTAGTTTTCTGTAATATTTTTTTGTATTTTTTCTTTAGTTTTTTGTTGTTTGTTTGGTTGTTTATTATTTTTTAACGCCTATTTGCTATTTTCTTTTCAATTGTATTTTTTTTTACTTAATTTTACTAGATTTTGTTTTGAACTTGCAAGTATTTTGCGTTTTTTTCTTCATGAGCTTACAATAAAGAATCATCAAAAAGTTGTTGCACAGTGTAAAATTACAATTTCTTGTTGTGTGTGGGTGTATATGTGGGTGTTTTTTAGGTGTGTATGTGTGTGTGTGAGTGTGTTTTTAGGTGTATATCTTCTACGGTGTTAATCTACAAATCTAAATTTCTCTCTAAGAGCAGGCCAATGTTTACACCAATCAACTGGGAATTATCGTTCGTGTTAACTTGTAAAATCAGAAAACGGCAAAAGTTTGTTTAAACGAAGAACTTACTTACAAAGGAAAGGCATTGCATTTGTGTACTTTTGTTTTGTTTTGTTGTTGCGGTGTTAAGTGTTATCTTTATGCTCCTATTTAGTATAATTACATAATGACGATTCCCATCTACTGAGTTTGCATTTACTTTAATTACAATAGTTAATCCATAAAAAATATATAACGATGATGATGGCAAAATGTGTTGTTTCGAATTGTTGTGGTTGTTGGTTGCATTACAAATTGCTATTAAAGTTGTTTCACTATTTTATTTTTGCCGGAGCTCGCTAACGGTGTTCTGGTTGCTGTTTTATCAAACGTTTGCTGGTTTTTCTGCCGGATGTTTGTTTGTTTGATTGTTGTTGTTTAGTATGGAACATTTGAGAAGAGATACGAGACACTCTCGCCGTTGTGTGTCCGTCTGACGGCCTCGGCGAACATCATCGAGACATCAATGCACTGAGAAAACAATAGAGCCATTTAAAGATATTGAACAAAATTGTACCCCTACTTAATAAAACTACACATATAAACTCTTTCATGAACAAAAGATAGAAACCCACCTGGATTTTGGGACAGTCCCGCATGTGTCCATCCTGCGGTATGGTATTGGTCACCACCACCGCCTCGAAACAGGCATTGTTGATCCGCGAGATCGCCGGACCCGAGAAAATGCCATGCGTCAGAATGGCATACACCTGATTAAGGTCCAAAATAAATCAATAAAACCAAGAAATTGAATTAGCAATCAAGTGAACCCACCTTGGTGGCTCCGGCCTCCACCAGGCGATCGGCGGCATGCACAATGGTGCCGCATGTGTCGGCCATGTCGTCGACCAGAATGGCAATCTTGTCCTTGACATCACCCACCAGCACCATGGAGGCCACTTCGTTGGCCTTCTTGCGCTCCTTGTGTATCAGAGCGAACTCCACATTCAGGCGATCGGCAATCGAGGTGACACTAAAAGTGGAGTGGAGTATTTAAATCAAGTTTCAGTACTGTGATACATATACGAGTATATTGAAGGACTAGGAACTAACCGCTTGGCACCGCCAGCATCGGGCGACACAATGATCGAGTTCTTCCACTCGGGAATGTTCTCCTTGATCCACTTGAGCACCGCCGGCTCGGCGTAGAGATTATCAACTGGTATATCAAAGAAGCCCTGCGAATGGGGAGTTTTCGAATTAGTTCAGCATCAAGTAGTCATTGCCAGCTAACACAACTGCCAGGCACTAGCAGTATATCAAACATATATGGCATAAAGTCTTGCTAAAATAAATTTACAACAAAAGTTAAAACGCAGGTAAAATCCCAAACAAGAAGTTATTCTTCACAATCCAAATCCCCAAATCTAAGTTGCTAAGTATGGAGAACGAGCAGCTGAAAGACCTGGACCAGTGGCTAACAGAGCAGCGCATAATCCTGGATATGAGAACTCGTCGTTTATTCTCCGATGTGTTGCCCGTGGCCAAGATTGTCAAGCGTAGTTATCCTCGCCTGGTGGATCTGCACAACTATACGCCCAAGAGCAGCGTGGTGCTGAAACTGGGAGACTGGGAGACCTTTAGCAACAAGGTTCTGAAGAAGTTGGGCGTCAATGTGCCACGTTCGGTGCTGCAGAAATTATCGACAGCAGCACCAGGAGGTATAGAAAAGCTGTTCCATGAACTGATGGCGGCGACCAAGTGCGGTAGTCCCAGACCAAGATCCATGTTGAATGTATCACCAACGCGTTCCCAGAAGAGCGAGGTGGTCAACAAGTTGGCTAATAAGGATTCTGTGAAACGCACCCTCGACCGATCCCTCACCCAAGTGCTCGAGCGCTCTGCCTCCACTGATAATCCACCCAAGGTGCTGACCATGGACGTAAAGGTCGTGGTCGATGGACAGGTCAAGAAGGTTGCCAAAGAACTAGTGGAATACGAAGACTACGCCAAAGCGGTAAGGGAGAGTGCCGAGAAGTCATCCTACATCAACTCCATCGCCCAAAAGGTCGGCTACCTGGAGAGGATGATTGCCATCAAGAATGAACGCATAGATGAACTAATGCTCCAAATGGGCAAACTGTCGGCTAGCATTCTTTCCATACGAACTACGCCCAACGGTACCGAGGACGAAATTGGGAATTAGGGCCACCGACCACCTAGTAGCCTATGGATGGGGATCCGCCAAGATCCTAGCTCATTTTGTAATATCAAATCTCAGGCCCTGGGCTTTGATTCAAGAACTTTTCACCTCATGTTATTGGATAAATCTGTACTATATATTTTGTATTTTATTTTAAACCCTTAAAACATTTTCTTTGGCTTCACTCCAATAAATTGTTACGTCGTTCGGAAGGAAAATCAGATTTTCTTTATCGTAATTACTTGACTGATATACAAATCGAGGTGCGATAAGAAAACGCATTCAACATTTTGCTATCACTCCAATATCAAAGTTATACATAAAATTATTGTGCTCAGGAAGCTTATATGTTATGATATTATGTATATATCGGGGAATGACTTACCTGAATCTGTGAGGCGTGCAGATCCATGGTTATGATGTGATCCGCTCCAGCAACGGACAGCATGTTGGCCACCAATTTGGCCGAGATGGGCGCACGACTCTGTGCATTGGCCAGCGTAGAAAGAGATGCAAGGAAAGGTTTCCATTAGCGCAACTAGTAGTCAAGTTATATGTACATGGGTTCGATTCTTATATCGCTAGGCATTATGAGGAGTAAATCATGGAAATCAAAACCGAACATGGACACACATATATGTATAGATAGAAATCAACAAAGAGGTTAACGTTCCAATAGATTGCATATGGAGATACATAATTCATGGACAGAAAAGAGATTCAGTTGCGACAACACAAAGGACACAAATGTGATTCGGTGCAGCACCCCGAAAATAATGAGTTCGGATCAATAGAGAATGAGATATACCCAGGTGATAGAGTGCAACGCCAGTTAGAGATAAACATGTACAGATAGATCGGTTAATACGCAAACAAGTGCAAAGAAAATTCAACCATTTTGGAATAATTTTTCTTTTCCGCTTTTTTCACTTGATTTTGGTTTGGATTTTCGTGTAATATTTGGAGAACAAGGCATGCAAAGTGTTTCTGGATTGAATAGGGGAAAGATCGTCGTCTGGTTTCATCAACTCAAAGGAAAACATTAAAGAACGCAACAAAGCAAAAGGCTTAAGACAAATATATTCTAAAGCAAAATGTTCTTTATTGGTATTTTAGTTTAGTTCCGCAGCAACATTAAAAATAATAATGCCTGGGATACAGGAACTAACCGAACTACTCACAGTATATTGTTTGGCTGAAAACTCCTAAGTTCAACAGAATTGGAATTTTGTTTATTTTATACATTTTGGGTAATTTGATGCAAGAGAGAGAGACAAAGAGTATAAAAAGAAAAAGAAGAAAACACAAAAAGTTCAGAATAATTCAGAGTTTAAAATTAAAATTAAGGTGGAATCGGGTTGTGTACATCCTGTGTGTATATTAAAGTTAACAAAGACGTAATCCGTGTTTTTCAAAAGTGTGTGAGTAGTTAGTCAAGTGGGTTTCTGTTTTGGTGGGGGGGACTCAATTCAAATCAGGTTGCAATGCCAATTCAAGTACACATTTTCAAATAATACGATGTATACAAATTTTCCTTCCATTTCAACTGATTATCTTTAACGTCAAGGAACTCATTTACAGATTACAGAATTGAAAAATATTTGTGCATTTCGCGCATTTGACCCGCGGGGTTCATTGTCTATATACGTATATATAGTATGTATACGAGTATATACCCCCCATTGCCGATTCTGACGTCACAGGAGATTATCTAGCAACGGAAAAACTTAATCAAGTGGAATGGAAAACAGTATTTTCTAAGCCCCCAAAAGGAGGTTGTTGTCAGGGCCGATAAGACAAGAACAAAAGTGCAAGACCACAACAATCAAGACAAACAAACAGCAGTCGAAACAACACAAACAAAATTATTTATTAGAGTTTCATTATTAAAAATAGATTAATTAATGTAAATTTTATATTTCATATTCATTATTTTTGCTGCAATGAAGAGCCGCCGAAACAAAACAAACAGAGGCAACGTAAATATGTGGAAAATTTTCATTTGTTTTTTTTTTTAATTATCTCCAATAAAAGTCATTGCATTTTCACCGATTTTTTTTCTGGGTTAGCCAAGAATTAATTCTTTATTAGTTTATTAGCGGGTATTTGGGGAGTTGGGGATATAGGGTTTTAGGGTTCTAGGGAAGGACATGCAAAATAGACAAAAAGGTATTGTTTCCGAGAAAAACGAGAAACTTGTTAAGCCAGACGCCAAAAATTTCCTTCGTGAGTTATGAGTTTCTGAGGATGAGATTGCCCGTTTTGAGAATTCCCTTGCAGGTTTTTAGTGTCTTGTTTTTGTATCCAAAGAAAATTAATAAAAAATTTCCCATTACATTTACATATTATAGAAGAACATAAAGTGTGAATCAGGTGAGCGTTTAGTTATTGAAAAGTTACAAGGTAAATACCCTAAATTTCCAATCGTAGTTTTTCTTGGCTAGTTTCTTGCTTTCCGCATTATCCTCACTGCCTGCCAACTTCACGGTGAAAGAGAGACAGAGATCGATAGAGAAACGGAGAAAGAGAGAGAAATACACCAAGGCACACACACACGCGCGGTAGAGGGAGATAGTTGCAGGTGGGCGAGAAAGACAGAGCGAGTATTGCGTGGTAATAAAAAATAAATAAAGTATTTAATTACAAACGGCAAGAAAATAATGCAAAATAATGCGATTATAACTAAGGGATTGTTCTTTGAAATTTTCCACATTTTCCAATTGCGTGCATGTATTTTTACATAAGTTTTTTTCCAGCTTAGCTCCGTTGCAAACAGTTTTTTGAAAAAGAAATGGAAATCGCTTAACAAAATGCATTAGAAACACACAGTCACACACAGAAAAACAGAAGTATGTATATATAGGATAAATAAATCGGTTATATATAGCACTTAACAATCGAGCTAAAGTTTTGGGAAAACATTTGGGGGAAAAGTAAACACTTTTTCGTCTCCACTTTTCCCCAATAGAAACAGTGTGTGGACTTTGCATTGAACTTATAGTCAGATTAAAAAGAATTAATTGTTTACAATGCTTTTCTTTGCACGTAGGATCCGAAATGGGGGGATCCTCGAAATAATACCGTGTCATTTTTTCGGCGGCCGGATCGTGTTGAGGCAAACCTACCTTGTCTTTTTTGTCTTGGCGGGCATATGGAAAGCAAGGAATCACAGCTGTAACACGAGAGGCTGAGGCGATTTTGCACGCATTGATCATGATCAGCAGCTCCATCAAGTTATCGTTGATCTCGCCGGATCCCGACTGCACGATGTACACATCCTCGCCGCGCACCGATTCCCCAATTTCCACACTGCAAGAAAACAGAGAGCGGGGGTCAGTTGGTAGGCTGGATGTGGGGTGCACTGTGGGAAAATATCAGCAAGAAATTGATAGATTGATTGCAAAAAACATGGCTAGCATTGTTGAAATCAAAAAATGAGATCAAAGTATCACTGCAATCGATTAGAAATAGATGTGTGTGATTCATTAAAGTACGGAGATTATTGGGAAAAAAGGGTTTCAATCTAAAATCGTTATGTAATATTATTCCATTGCAAAGAACCTTCTTCATGGCATACATAGTATGTATAAAATAGACGTTGGTCCTTCAGTGTGCGGAAATTTCCATTATTTGCCTCAAGCTCGCATAACCTTTCAAATTCACAAGTTTTAAAAGTATCCTTTTTCCCATGCACACCCTCCCCTAAGTTATTGATAGTCCAAGCAAGACACGCCCCCAATTCTTGACGTTAGCGAAGCCCAAATAAAACTGCAAGCCAAGCCAATCTAATCGAAAACTTTTCTAATTCTCTCGCACACAAACCACATGGCGTATGCGCAATACTTGCAATTGCCTCTGAAGCCGCCTCGTTTATTGCTTTGTTTACACTTTGTTGTTCTGTTTTGTTTTGGTTTCGGTTTGCATTTGCCTTTGCCTTTACGAAGTTTTGTTAGCAACTCAGTTAGACTATAAGTTCTCGATACCCTCGATGGAGAATGGGTGGTTCAATCAGCGCTTCAAAGGCGGAAATATTATACAGAAAATATACCCAGAACATACATACGTCAATAATGTATATTAGATGTCCGAGCAACCGAAGTAACAAAAGTATTAAATTAAAATAACAACGGCTGCAGAGAACTTTGCTAGCTTCATACTTCATATAGATTTATAGATTATAGATTTAAATTCAGATTTTTAGGGAATTGCGGCAGAAACATTTAGATGTATGCCACTTCAAAATCCGATTAAGATAAGTTGAGTTATGGACTTTAAAACTTCAGCATATGGACATTTTTTAATTTTTTTGAATTTCCACAACATAACATAAAAAAAAAAATTTTTTAAATAAAATTCTTAATTTGAATACAGATTTTTAGAGAATTGTGCCAGAAACATTTAGAGGTATGCCACTTCGAAATCTGATTAGGATAAGTTTAGTTATGGACTTTAGAACTTCAGCATATTGACCTTTTTTAATTTTTTTGAATTTCTACAACATCAAACATCAAAAAATATACAAAAAAAATTTAAAAAAAAATAAATTTCTAAATTTGAATGCAGTGTTTTAGAGAATTGCGCCAGAAACTTTTAGAGGTATGCCACTTCAAAATCTGATTTAGATAACTTGAGTTATGGAGTTAAGAACATCAGCATAGGGACTTTTTTTGAATTTCTACTAGATAGAAAGAAGATAGAATGCTAGGGTCGAGTTCCCCAACTATCAGATACCTTTTACTTAGCTAGTGGAAGTGCTAACGACAAACTTCAACATTTTCTGGAATATCGCTAGAAGTTGGGGAAAAAATAATAAAATTAAACAAAATTTTAAGTTTTTAAAAAGTGTGGGCGTGATACCGAGTAACGGGTATAACTACTCCCAGTAAAAAAATTAAATGAAATAAACAATCAGTCAATTTCAGTCAATAAAACACGCTTTCAGCTGACTCTCGGTTAGTTTGCTCTTTTTTCGCATTCTCATGGTTATTTTGGCGTTTGCTTTACCATCGAAGGTTAATTCAATTACATGCCGTTCGGAGCATCAGCCCTCAACCGACTATCGATTGAACGACCTGTGCCAATGTGGCCGAGTAATTAATTTGTCCAATATTTCGGGTTTATCTTTTGTCATAAACCCATTGCTGGAGACTGTCGTCAATCGCGTGACACGTTTTTGTAGTATAGTATAACCTAGTTCTGCACTCGCTTATCAATAAACATACCATTGACCGGTTTTTTTTGGGGGGTATATTGATTTGAGGGGTGTATTTGTATACATATGTATGTATTCCTTATCTCTACCGTGGTCAAGGAGATCAATGTGGACCGGCTAAAAGCAGAGATTTCATCAGCCTTGGCCGGATGCAATTTGGCATTAAATCATGCATTTTTGAATAGATTGCCGGGGCTGTAGGAAAACACTTTCACCGCTAGCCACCGTGACATTGTTAGCATGCCGGGAAAATGTTGAGAAAAATCGAAGGCAAATCCGTGGGCAGGGAGAGGGTGTGGCGTGGTGTGGTGTGGTGGAAAGAAGGTGTGCTGGGCAAGACAGTTGGCAATTGGCCAGAAAGACCGCCGCATTGCCAACAACTAGCAACAGTTCAGCCAGCAGCTGTTTCTTTGGCCGACCGTCAAATAGAATTTCAGCCAGAATTCATTTCATTTTCCATTGTTTTTTACGTATTTTTATCTCTTTCCTTGCTCGCTAGTCTGTCTGCTCATGTGATAATGTAAACCGAAAAATACAACAAATAAAACTAAATAAAACATGAAAACGAAAAACAGTCGTACTTCTCTAATTGAAATCACCAGTTTCACACTTTTTCGCACTTTGTTTATTTTCTTAGTTGTTTGATTAGAACATTCTTATTCGCTTTTATTCTTCTCTTATCGTACGGATTTCATAGATTACACATAATCAAATTTAAGACCGCGTTATAAAATTAAAAAAGCAGACTTTGATTGATTACTATGTTTCAAGGATATGGATGTTCGAGTTCGAAAATGTCCTAGAGTTTGCTACTAAGCTGAAATATTGTTTATCTATGACTGTGCTATATATAGAAGTCTTACTGTAGTATAAAAAACTGTTGCCAATTGTCTCCCACTTAGCTTATCTCAGTCTGGAGGAAATCTAAATCGCTTAGTTTCTGTTGGTTCCAGTTGATTTATAAGCGCCTTATCACTACTAACTCGGGCCCCTTTCAAAAGCTCGTGGAAACCCAACGACCTCACAGGACAAACACGCAAATTCCTTATCGATCAAACTTTAGAGTCGAAAATGGGGGGGAAAGAGCACTTAGTAATTGACATTTTCAGTGGGTGGTTGGGTGGTTTCGATAGCGAGGTTTGTGTATAAAACAGTTTAGAATTGCGTGTGGCAAGACCTTCGAAATTGGAAATTGGAGCCCCAATTTGGGGTTATTGAAAAATGATTATGAATTGCCACTGAAATTGGACTTGGCCTGTGGCGAAGGTCGTTTTGGGGTTTTCTTAGGAGGCAGTCGTAAAAAACATTACATACTTTGTACATTTTATGACCTTCGTATTGACTAATTATGTGTTTTTTTAGGGTTGCAATAAAAATATTATACACCAATACATATTAATATTATTTATATTGAAATCCATATTATGTAAGATGGTTATGTACGATGTGCTGGCAAAAAATATATGTGATTATTAATAATATGGAGAACAATTCAAAAAAATCACGTGCGACCCAAATAAACTGGTATCGCGAGTTTTTATACATGGTTTTAAAATTGTATTTCTCTCTTCTCTTGTTATGCTCTTATCGTCCATTATCAGCGAATATGCTTAAAGAAATTTGTGCCAGTCTTAATATCAGCATTCAGTCGTTTAAACTTTCGTGATGTCATCTTGGCGCCCTTCAATTGAGCATAATCTTGACTAAAAACTTGATCTCTAGCCCAGTCGCCCCACCAAACGCAACAGCGACAATAACAATTAGAGCTACAACAACAGCATCATTATCATCATCAACCTGCGTTTGCTATTATCAACAAAAGCAATCAAGACAAAGTATGAAAAAAATAAAAGCAAAAGTTCAACCGTTATAGCAGCCGCAACAATAACAACAACACCTAGTGTAAATTGGAGCAAAAAGAGCGCATTTAACGGTCAACATGTTTTTCTGGCTGCTGTTTCTAGAGAATACTAGAGAGTGAAAGAGAGAGAGAGAGAGATGGACAACAAAAACAAAGCCGACAAGTGCAAACAGAAATATTGCAGCTACAACAACAGTGGAGCAACAACCACTATGCACACGTGGGGGTCTGACACTTAGTGTGAGAGCAAGAGAGCGAGAGATAGAGAATGGGCTCCAAAGAGAGCCTCAATGTACACTATGCGGGGGCGTCGCTGCCGCAGTCGACGTCGCAACGTCTGCCGACTCTTGATGTGGCGCTCAAGCTCCCCTTTCGTTCTCACCTTAAGAGAGCGTTCTCCCACTCTCCGTTCAGTCAGCAAATGAAAAACGTGACAGAGTCGTGTTGTGGTTCTCTACTTGCAGGCATTTATACCCTTTAGTCGAGTGTGTCGGCTTTACAAGCGAGTTCGTTTTTCGGCGATGGTAAGGAATCATTAGAACGCTAGAATCACGAGCGGACTTATACCTTGAAAAACAATAAAATAAAATTTATTTACAATCTAAAACAAATAGGTTTATATATATACAGGTACATATATACATATATTACATATAAATTAAAAATTGTTATTTTGGCACAAAAAATTAAAAAGTGTAAGCCCATTTCCAACGCTCTACCCAACTAACAATTTTCCCAAAATTATTTCTCTAAATATAATTTTTTACGCATTTAAATGTCACACGTATGAATCTACGTACGTACTACGTACTACAGTAATCTTTCAACCATACTCAAACAAATCGTCAGATGACACGACTCCTTGTTCAACATAACATCTGGTGCAGGGCAACCTAGCTTCGACTTCGCCACGCCTTTGGTTCATTCCGCTGCCGCGTACCTTGGTGTGCGTGCGAGTGAGTGCGAGCATAACAAAAACACACGCACACCAACGGAGCGCGTATCATGTCAGAAAGCTTAGCGCGTATTATAACCTCTATTTTCGGTTTGGTTTTCTTCCGTTTGCCTCGTTTGTTTCTTTCACCTTTTCACCTCCTCTAATTGTTTGCTTATGTGGCTTTTGTTTAATTTTATTAAAATTGGAAAAGACCGAAGGAAAGTTGACACCGAATAAACGGAAAAGGTTGCTGGTGGGTGGGATTAAAACCATGGGCGCCTTTATTTATTATTTGTTGTTGTTGTTACAGCAGCTGACTGGCTGGGCTTGCGCCTGTGTAAGTGCGTGCGGGAGCAAGAGAGGGAAGCGAAAAGCGTGCAAGCCGCAAGTCTAGACATACACACACACGCACACATAGCCGCTAATTTAATTAAAAATATGAAATGAAAATCATTTTCTGTCTCATTGCGAATTTTTTGCCTAAGAATATTTTTTTAAATTTAATTTAAATTTTGTGAAAATTGCACGCGGCATTGGCCAAGCTTTACGTGGCTGCGTGTGTGTGTGTGTGTTACTCTCACTCATACCAGCACAACGCCACTAAACACACACTCACACACACACAGACGCACGGCTATAGCGACAAAGACGGTGTACAGTCCACTTGTTAAATCAATAAAAATAAAAAGAAATCAAGCCAAAGGCATGCCACAAAATTCGGGAAAAATCATTCACTTTTAGGTAATCACAAATTCTCATTGACTCGCATTGTTGATTGTGGCAACGAAACGCCAGCAACCTTCAGCGAATGTCAAGGACCTTTTGAGCACATGTGTTTGCAGACCAAACACTTTTTCGTCAAACTCAATTAGCACACTTTAAAACACATTTGTTCGTTCGGCCGTTAAACACTTGTTGGTGGTCACACACACACAATTTGCGAAGGAAATTCCCTTGCAGGACTACTCACCAGGTCTCCAAATTGCTGAATTTCTTCGTAACCACCTTGCCGAGATCGATTCCCAGGCGATCGACAATCCGTTGGGCCAAATCCGGATGCGAGGTGCCCGAAAACACTTTGATGTTCGGCATTCTGGAGTGGATTAAATTTAGACAACCAGCCTGTTTCTCCAAATTGTCTCGGATCAAACTTCTAGCGCGTATCGGATTAGCAGAGCGAACTGGCATCACACAATCTATGAGTAGAAGTTTTTATTATAAATTTTTTTCGCCAAAACGCGGGCAGCGACGTCGACGTCGCCGCCTTATCGGTGTGCCCGCAAGAGCGCAAAAGAGAGCAACGGAGCTTTTGCTGCGCACCGCTCTCTTCCGCTCGCTCTTTCTGTTAAGCCACCCCAATTATCCCCCATCCAAACCATGTGATTTTTCTGCGCGTTCTCCAGGGAACTGGAAACCTATCGATTTCGATTCGGGGCTACTAAAGCGGTTCGATAGGCATTCATCTATTAATATATTAAAAAAAAAATTTAATTTCCTGTTGTGTTATTCAGTAGAAAAAGCTGTTAGAAAAAAAGGTTCTGGTCTATGGGGGAAAAAATAGTTTTGTAAATTTGATTATTAGCTATTTGGTATTTGATATGAGCATTTCAGGCCGGAAATAACGTTCTTAATGATTTTGCTCCGTTTGCTATGAATTTTAGATATGAACAGAAATATATAAATATTTCACAGATTCCATTCGATTAATAAACAGCTTATTATCAACCAATTACAATCTATGAATTTTCTTTTAACATAAAAAATATGCTGGCATGCCAACAGGCGCGCGTCAAATGAAAAGCTTTTGAGACCGTGGCAATCAGCTGTTTCACGGATGTCCCCAGTTGGCCATGAAAACCCAGCACACACACATACACGCGCGGATAGAAATGAAAGGAATGTGAGTTCTAGGATATATTCTACGCACCATTCTGCTCGTTCTCGATGCATTTCTTATCGGGCATTATTCACAAAGCGATGAAGGTTCTGCGACAGGTAAGCGGCGACTGAAGAGATTGCCGTTTAATAACAAGTCGCACTCAGCTGTTTTGCGCCAGGTTAAGCGAAAAATGCACTGTTTCAGCGACAATGGGAGATTGGGATTAGCAGCCGCAGAGCGCCGCATCTGGCGAAATTGAGCGAGCGAATGGAACTGAGCGCCGTACAACATGGCGTATGCGTCTATTACAACCGGTGCGTGCCCACACACATACACCCATCTTTTTCGAGAGAGCGCAAGAGAGAGCCAAGGATGGAAATGATGCGCAGTTAAGTTGATGCCACAAGGAAAAGCTTTTCGGGATGCGCTTTCCTCTCTTTTCGGAATCAGCTGTTTTCGATAGGTAATTTCCATAGCGTTTTTAAATACGTCATATTGCAATTTTAGATATGTAAGATGTCACACAGAGCGAAAATTTGAATAATAAGTATTCGTCTATATACACACATTTTCAGCATATTTTCTATTTCTTACTTACTACCCACACAGATAGAAAATAAATTGTTGCAAATATATTTTAAAGGCCTGTATTGTTATACATATATGATATACAAAAAATTAAGCTGTTTTAATGACACCTCAAAACGGGCAAATAAATTTCCAACTCCCCATAAAAATGTCAATATATTTTCCTATACAAAATAATAAAAAAAAACCTTAAATATTTGAGACAATAATAAACATTAATGCTGTCTCGCACCCTCTTGAATACTTATACGGGACTCTTTTTGTGTACATATTCAAGAATTTTTTTGTTTTTGTCTGTGTATCTGTGCTGTGTGCCGTTTTCCATTCTTGGATAATTATTCCGTTCTGGCTAATTGTTGCTCTGCAAATATCTCTATACATCTCTATGTACATTGTATGTACATACGAGCAGGAATGTTTTGTTTTCTAGATCTAAAATCCAGGGTACAGTTCCTACTTTTTCATTTCACGGGGGCTCGTCTTTGCTTTTGTTGCCCCGAGATGTTTTCTTGTTGTTTGTGCAACTGTACCTTAGATGCTGAACAAACGAACGCGGCTGAAAAACACTGCGATTTGTTAAATTGTCTTTTTTGTGCCCATGGCTAAATATAAATGAACTAATGCCAAATGCTGACGTACTCTTCTCCGTGTTTTATCCCTAAAAACTGACGCAAATGGCGTTGCAATTGTGCCGAACGTACAGGAATAATGGGGCGGTGAGGCAAAAACCACGTGCCGAATGCGACGCACGTTTTGTGTCGTGAGGAATGCAAAGGCACGCACACATCGAATAGTACAACATTCTGGACTTACTTGAAACATGTGAGGTAGTAAAGTGTCGCAATTACTTTCACACTACAAACTATTAATCACTGAACGATGCGATTGGGACAAGTTGGTCGAACAAAAACTTGTAGTGAGGATTTTAGTTTGTGATTCCGCTTGGATGCAGCCGCTACTCAGAAAATGCAAAAGCTGAATGAATCAGAACGCTTTCGATTTGAATTTGAGCGAGGGAAGTTGAACTTCTGGAGTTGTTTGGTGCGAGAGAACAAGAGATAACGCAAAGAAGAGTTGACTTCATCAAGCTGAAGCCTAGATACCCTTACCTTACGAAATAAATAAGTGGTCATAATAAATGGTTTTGAAAATGTTAAAAATTATAGAAACTTGGACCCCTGGCTTACAGTTTTGCTTAGCTTCCTTATAAAAACTATTAACTGACCCAGAAAAAACTAAGGTAGTTTTTACTGATTTCAAGCGATAGACCGATGGAATATTAATCATCCTTAATCATCCAATATTTTCCATTATCAATGTATATACATCTTTCCAAGCTCGAATAGTTTTAGGCTCAAACATATGTTTAATTAAATGTATATTTTCCGTGGTAGGAGACATCATCCCTATTCTCCCACTTATCATATGCTTTGTAAGGGTATATCAAGGAGAAAAAAAGAGAGCCGGCATGTTTGTTTGTATCGGTCACTCGTTTTGTTTTGGGGCGAAAGAGCGGCACAAAAGGGGAGCACAAACACGTGTGTCCAAGAAGTAAGAGTCAAGTAGTTAGAGAATTTTAAAGCTCTAACGTTTTACTTAGTCTCAGATTGTCTGTTGGGTATACTTCTTATCCGAAAACTGTTGTTGTGTTGGTTCTCAACTTCCCCACACGCTTTTGCTGACACGTTTTTTTTTTACTCGATCGCCATTTGTGCTGTGCGAAACGTGAATTTCGGCAGTAAAAGAGAATGTCGACTTAACTGATTTCCAGTCATGAAATATACCCTATAAGTTGTTGACAACGTTTTTAAATGGTTTACATTTTAGGTATTAAAAATATGGAAGAAAAAGTTGCTCACAATGTAATCTACCTTATCAGAGTCTATCAGCTGTCAATTGTTTAAAGTAAGATTCTTCAGTATTGGTTAAAAGTTGGTATATCAATATATTTATGGCGAATCTAACAGTTCGCATACCCTTTTCGAAGTATACCCAGCATAAACACAAGATCGTATGGCGTATAATTATTGCTTGTCTATTATTTTTGGACTGTTGCCAAGGGAGGCCTACGCCTTAGAAGCATAAACTTCTTGTTTTTGTTTATAGGACGTAAAACGAGTTTCAAATTTCCGCCGCAGACAAGGCGGCCGCGCGTAATGGAACCATATTTCTGAGGTCAGAAGAACTTCGATTATTATAAATGCTTCATACATATGTATTCAGTGTTCAAGATCAGAGACGCAATGGAAAATAACCTTTGCCGCGTGCCAATGAAAAGTTGCGGCTAATTTAACTAATGGTACAAAAATCAGTTTTGAAAGTGATTAAGTCAATCATACATATCAAAAAGGTAAGAAAGGTATTGTATTTTTCAAATAAGCTGCATTTTTAGCAAATTAGTAGCTTGCGTTTTAGCTTTCAGTTATTTTATTTTGTGTTTCGAAACTTGTTAGGTAACTATGCCGGTTAATGCCTGGGGGTTGCGTCCCTCAGGAGAGGAATACCCTTGTAAATTCCGAAAACCTATCCAAGTGGAAGCTAGAAGTTTAATGATATCCAGTAAACATTCTTGAGAACCAATCGGATATCCACCCGCAGAACTACCCATAGTAACTAAACCTGAAAAAATAGTCGCATCTGCAGTTGATGGTTTTAATAAGAATATACAAGTGTGAGTTTGGTGTGCCTCCCATGATCAGTATGTCAAGGTCATAACTTTCAGTGCCGAAAAGGTCAGAGGGTCACGATTCAATGGTCCGGCGCGTGGCCTACGAATTGAGAAATGTTTGGAACTACTTTTCTTATGGGTTTGGAAATAAACCAAAAAGCGGGCTTTTGTTTTTTGGATTAGTCTTTTAATTGTATACACACCGTGGACTTTCATAGGAAGTGCCTATAAGGTACAAGAATTACATATGTACGTTTATAGGGCGCATTTTCAGGTCCTACTAATAACTGTCACAATCAAATCCTACAGTTAATACTAATAAGGTGTTAATACAAAATTGCACTTATATAAAGAACATTTATTTTTAATATGAATATTCGAACTGCAAAACTCGATACCACATTTCGCGCACTTTTCCAGAAGCCCATCGATACGCCTATCGATAGGCGAGCTTTCAGAATTTTCCAAATGCGGCGCCGCGGTCACACTATAGAAAAACAAAAAAAAAATAGCACTGGCAAAATAGACGTGCTGAGCGCTGTAAAAAGTCAGTTTTGTTAAAATTGGAATTTTGTTAAAATTTTTCTGTGTGCTGGTCGAGCTCGTTGCTTCGACAATACCGAATAGCGAGCGAAAGGAGCAACCTTGGAGGCCAGCAGCTAGGCGTAATTTACGCAACGCACCACACAAAATCCGCAAATTTGCACGGGCGGCAACAACAAAAACAGAGGCAGAACAAAACCGAACCGAACAGAACAGGGCAGCGAGAAGAGTGTCGAGAAGAGGAGAGGCGTAGAAAGGAGAACGGAGAATAGGGAACAGGCAGAGAACAGAGAAGAGAGTCGGAGAAACGGAAGAAACATCATGGCGAACATGGCAGTGTCGCGGATCAAGCGGGAGTTCAAGGAGGTGATGCGCAGTGAGGAGGTGAGTTCCGAGCTCCAAGGCCGAAGGACACTCAAGCGCCTCCCTCGGCATCGCCAGCTGCACCACCACCCCTGATTGTGGTGCAGGGCGGGGACGATGTCCGAGGACTTTGTTGCCGTTTTTGGCGCGCTTATTGGCTCCGTGTTATTTGTGCATATCGAGTACAATGTAAACATTGGCTACACTGATTTATTCATTCTGCATGTAATCCCTGACAGATCGTCCAGTGTTCCATCAAAATCGAACTGGTCAACGACAGTTGGACGGAGCTGCGCGGCGAGATCGCAGGTCCACCTGACACGCCCTACGAGGGCGGCAAGTTCATCCTGGAGATCAAGGTGCCCGAGACATATCCCTTCAATCCACCAAAGGTTAGTATGAAGTATACGATATCGATATACGAAATATAGCAAGATCTTATAAATATATATCTTTTGTGTTCTTAAAAGTCAAGGTAATAGATATTTTAGATTTTGTGCAGGAGGAGCCTTTTTATAGTATAACATTTTCCCGTAAAGAAATAACTTTAAATGTGAGCTTGCATATAATTACCACTTAAATGACTACATTCAGCTTTCAAAAATCTGATATTTTAAATGTTCAATATCGAATGACCTATGTACATTGTTAGAAAGCTACACTTATATAAATCCACAATATACGACTTCGTTGCAAATGCGTGATACAAATATATAATTTGCAGTAAAGAACTAAATCAATTGCAACTTCTACGCAGGTACGCTTCATAACGCGCATCTGGCACCCAAATATTTCGTCGGTGACGGGCGCGATTTGCCTGGACATCTTAAAGGACAACTGGGCTGCAGCGATGACACTACGCACCGTGCTGCTGTCCCTGCAGGCGCTCCTGGCCGCCGCAGAGCCAGACGATCCACAGGACGCAGTGGTGGCCTATCAGTTCAAGGACAAGTACGATCTGTTCCTGCTGACGGCCAAGCACTGGACAAACGCGTATGCGGGCGGACCGCACACCTTTCCCGATTGTGATTCAAAGATCCAACGTCTGAGGGACATGGGCATCGACGAGCATGAGGCGCGCGCCGTGCTCTCCAAGGAGAACTGGAATTTAGAGAAGGCCACCGAGGGCCTGTTCAGTTAGCTTTTCCCAGCCACATTACCATCAGTAGGATTCACGGCGGTGGCGACACCAAGAACACCCGCAACTTCTGCATCAACCCTTCAGAACGGCAATCACGCTAAATTCTTGTACACTCACGCACCAATATATTTTCGTAAATTTTGTCCTCAAATTACATTGCCCTGTAGTTATAATAATTCTCTGCTCTGTTCTCTAATTTTATTATGATTATTGTGCACATCTTTGCCGCTGGGTGGGTCACCAAATGGTTGAGCCAAAGGCCATGCCCGCGCCCCAT